CTCTTTTTCCCCTCCTCCTCCTCTTCTTCTCTTCCTCTCTTTCAAGTCAAAAGTGCTTCACTTGTTAATGATAGAAGCCATTTCTTCACATCTGTACCACACAGGCATTTACATCCAAACAAAAGATAATGTGCAGTTTGCTTCTCTCCCACTTTCTTCCTGTTTGTCCCTGACTGTGTAACACTCTTTCTTATCGCTGCAGTCTTCCGAGCTCGTGCACGCACGCCTTCAGATGTGTCTGTCTCCGCTTGAGATGTGGTCCGGGGTTGTTGTTAAGCATATAGGCTGCTTTTCATCTTTACAGTGGCAGCACGAGCTCACGAGAATGGGCTCAGGTTTATCACGGGCCTGGAGAGATGCCACGGCGAATGTTCTTCCGCGTCTCATCTCGAGCAGCTCAATTACAAGTACTGTAAAGCAGGAGGATGTCACGGCCCGGATAATTCAAACACGTCTGCAGAATGAGAAAAAGAAAAGGATGGAGGTGTGTTGACGGAGAAATTCACAAACTGAGACACTTGGAGGTGGTTTAAACTGAGGGTTGGAAATTGGAGGAACGAGATCTGTGCGAGAAGCAGATGGGAAATGGAGCTTTGACTGAGTGAAAGCCGAAGATTTCTCTCTATTCATTTAGTCGACACACAGAGAACCCAGATGTTCTGTTTTATCCAGTGATACTTTCTTTGAAATGGCCTTGAGTCAAGCATTTGCTTCCTGTGGAACAAAACAGGACTTTGGAAGGCCGTCCCGCTGTTTATTTGTTCTGCTAAAAAGACGGCCGATGCATTAAGTTCACATTCTCCTTAAGTAAATAGTTTTTCATCTGGCAACTGATGCAAGGAAATAGTGTACAAACAACAAATTAAATGCTCTCCTAGATGGAAAATTCTTTTGTGGAATTAGGAAAATCCCCCTTCTTGTCTCCTAACTCAATTGAATATAGTAGGTGTCCGGACAGATTGTGGGGGGAGGGGTACAATCTGAGCACAATTTCCTCTTTTAGGTGAGACGTGTCAGCTGTAATCAGTGAAGGACAGCCAGGGGATGGAGCTATTGTTTCCTGCTGGTCCCGGGCTCATCCTGGCTCTGTGTGGGCACTAATGAAGAAGGGCATGTCGCGCTGGGATAGTTTACCCGCCTCCTCTCCTGTGAGTTGCGGACCAGAGCCAATCTGTCAGGAAAACATTGAGTGAAATTGCCCTGGGGTACAGCAATGCCTGGTGACAGCCACTTGCAGACTGTCAGCCATCCAGAGTGATGCTACCACCATGTATTGACAAGCAAATTACAGTCTCCCAACACAAACGCACCCTGGAAGATTCATTTACATCCATCAGCTCGGAGCCTTTGTTACCTTGTTGGGGTTTTCTTTTCTTAGAGAGGAGAGCCAGGGAACGACGGGGGAGGATCCCAGACTGTTATGACACAGGAGATTGTGAAGAGGCTGCGCGGCCGACATTAAGACTGACGGAGCGGCTGCCCTGTCTGGCCGGATGGCTGATCGCATTACCTCCGCCACATTGTGGGAATTAATTCTACCAATAAGATGATTTTTTTAAGGTTCATATATTGCACAATCTAAACTGAGTAAATTGGTGAAAATTATACCTTGCTGGGCAGCTGACAGGAAGAGAGATTTTAATTAGTGGGAGAAGCCTATTCAGCCACATGCGTGTGGGATTTTGTATCTGCTGGTGTGTGTTAGAGCATGAGGGAGATAAACAATGGGCTCAGAGCATGGCTCCGAGATGAAAACTAGAGCTAGTTCAGTGCTGTCGGTGGAAAAAATTACTGATGATGCATAAAATGCAATGTTCATCAGAGTAAAGGTATTTTATGAGATCATTTCATTCAGAATAATGTATCAATCTATTATTTTTAACCATAAAATCTTCAAAACTACACTTTTTTTTCTTGATTCAAAGCCTAAAAAAGTATTTGAAGAGTTCCAAAATAAGAGATTTTTGATCCGAATCACCTAACTTTATTTTGAAATAAATAATAATAAGCATTATTTGTACAAATAAAATACTGACGTTATTTGTTTTGAAAATGAAGTCTTCATTTTCTTATTGTGTTTTGATTTGTTTCTATTTAAAGGTGTGGGAAACTCGTTTAATCAATACATTTAAGATAAGATAAGATAACCTTTATTAGTCCCACAAGTGGGAAATTTGTTTCGTTTACAGCCAAAGTAAAAGTAAAAGTAAAAGTAAAAGTTATGCAGCAGAGGGAGAAAACACTAAAATACAATAAGTTCGATCGTAATGACATAAAATAAACTCAATACAATAGATAATTTATACCTTAAGAATGGAGTAAAAAATACGGTGGTTTCTAGTTAAAATGAGTGCTTTATAAGTCATACTCGGGGGGGGGGGGGGGGGGGGGGGTGACTCAAATGTACTTGTTACAGGAAATAGCAGAATGTCACAACAGAGGAGAACCTAACTTGGCAGGATTTAAAGTCTTATTTCCTGGTATTTGGACATCTTGTCTCTGATTGGATAACAGCAAAACGACTCTACCACCGACTCCATTTGCTCTACAACGTTGATGTTTTATTTCCACAAATAACACAAGCCTGGAGGAGTTCTGCTGTGTGGCGGAGTTGCTAATGCTAACAGTTAGCTTCTACTAGCCAAGACATTCTCCGCTGTTGCCTGGACGCTAAAACAACAACAGCCTTTCCCAAAGCAAGTCAAGATGAGTGAGTCCATGAATGTTGAGTAAAAGTGTGACGTCGATCTGTCAAGCTTTTTAAACCTTAGTGTTACACCGTTCATTTTCTATCAGAGGCTAATGCCAATACGTTGGTGTAGGAGACTATTTTCATGTTCAGCCTGCATCACAAACTCAAGCTGACCAATTACAATCAGAAATATTCATTAAAAATGTTTTTCAGAGTTGCACACATTTGAGTAATTCTCATGTATGTTTCTTTTCTGCTAGAGAATTTTTTTCTATAGTTTGATTTAAAAGAAGAATGTTGGTTATCTTATTAAAGCATGACGAAAAGGCGGAAGCAGCTAACTTAAGTCCACATCTTGGTTGATACAGAGGTGTTTTTTTTTATGATGGCAGACTCCCAGCGCTTTGTCAAGGAAGTAGTGGCAGTCACATGATCTGTTGATCCCATCTATGCAGAAAAGGGCATGTTTGACTTGCCTTACTGTTTTGAGGGGGAATCTCTGAGCAGGGTAAATAGCAGCCAGCAGGCAGGATATGTGACAGGCTGACAGACTTCAATTAATGGCAAACGCACCTCTTTTTGTTTACCGTGTTCTGTAAAGGTCAGCCAAGTCATGGTCATGGAGGCACTGTTTTTGCCCATTCCCAGGGTTAGATACATAATCAGAATTAATGACTCCAGACCCGACTCCCCCTCTCACACCACCCTCAGATATATGACCGTCTCATCTGACCTCACGCAACCCTATAAATAGCCTCGTACATGTCTCTCTGAACCGACACTCCCTTCCCTTGTGAACTCCACTGACACAACAACTATCACTCACATCTGAAACATGTTCACAGAAACAGCCTTTATAGTTTACCTTTCACAGGCTTGCATCTTCAAACATGAGCAGACTCATTCAACACCTTCGGTGCTTCTGACGGCTCACCTTGTGGCTGCATAATGACGCACAGCTCTTCAGGGCTAGCTGCACGCATTGTTGGAACTTGCCAAGGCTCGTTAACTTTGATAGCGGTAACATCAGAAGGGCGTTTGCCACGTATGTCAGTGTGAAGAGTTTGGTCCATATTGTTAAGCTCTCCTGCTCAGATTTGGTATTCTTCTCTGTTGCAGAGCATCGCATTTTGCAGCCTTGAAATAACTTTGTTGACAAAACAGCAGTGGCCACTTAACCACCCGTTAGCAGAGATGCTTTTAATTTTTCACTTCCTTCTTTTGTTTGCAAAGAACATGACTGATTTCTAGCATTGCATACAAAAAATATTCACAATCACTTAACAGAAACGGATAATTACGGAAGCAGCAAAACCACTCAAACGTGTTTTGTTAAGATGTATTTTTTTCCCGTTTCTATATTTTTTATGTAAATTACTGCAAATAAACACTTAAGAAGACAATCATTAACACAAGTGTGGAAATTTAGACGATACGTGGTGTCATGGAGTGGAGTGTGGATGGAGAAATGTATAGTGACAGGCGAGGCAGCAGAATGGTAAACAAGAATTATGAAGAGACAAGAGAACAGAAGACGAGGCAAAAACTCAAGCAAGCCCAAAACGAGACTTACGTAATAAAAAAAATGGAACTGGTGGGATAATTATCAAACTAGAACCAGGTGTGCGAGACAAAGGAAATCAGAACTTACAGAAAACGGGAAACAAAGATCAAAAACAGCAGAAAAAAATCAAAGACTAAACCTCACCACATTTATTACACTAATAATTCGGAGGATAGAATGTAGATAATCATCTACATTAAGCATTACAGCCTAAGGGTAAACCCTGACCTGGGTTCAGATGTTTTAAACGTTGTGTGAGAAGATTCCTGGAGCAGCCCGTAGGGCCTGGAGACTATCTCAGCGTTTTCTCGTAAACCTCAGCTCAGCCCCACTTAAGACTATTTACCACAAGTTTCATTTTTATTCACACCGAAACACATTTTGTACCCATGGGTTTAGTTTCCCATTCTGTGTTTGAAAGCAACAGGAAGTAACCCCTCTAACCCAGCCAATGGTCCTGATAAATTCACTGGCAGACGATTAAAATAACCAACGCGATTCCCATTCCCTCTAATAACTATTATCTTCCTAACTCCTCTGTGTGGCAGAACGAGAGGGGATAAATCTTCTACAAAATGGGGATAAATTACATATGTAAGGTGATAAGTGTGTGTGAGCTGGGGATGGGCCTCCAGGATTATTTAGTGCGCAGCTCATTACTTGGCGTACAGCTGCTTAGCCATCCCTTCTGCCCCTGAGCTTGGCGGGCGTCCCGAGCATTCTTTGTCATGGAACTGTGCATACCTGAAGCTGGAGGGGGCTGAGTCCTGACGCTGCTGCAGCTGCCATTGTGGATGGAAGGAACTGCACCGGGTAGTTATCACCTGTCAGAGAGGGGGGGACAATGCATACATGTTCAGACAATGAGCTGGCCCACAGAATCCAGGCAAGTGCCAACACGGACTGTGGACTCTTTACTGCTTCTGCCACGAGATCGTGGCACATTTTTGCAACGAGCCCTCGGCTTCCAGCCCAAACATCTGCATTAACAAAGGCTAAGGTGCTTTGACTGGAGCGGGATTAGTCAGGGACGTTTTCACACCCGTTCCTTCCTGCACATTATCCAACGACAACTCCAGATAAGCACGTTTGGATCTTTTAAGGTTTATTAGTTTGAGTCTGTGAGCACATGTAGTTCTGATTACGTTTCTCGTACCTGTTCTTGTTTTCGGTTGGTACGTTTGTTAAAACAGGCATGTTCTCTCAGGCAGTTTGTACAGCTGGAGGTCTGTCTGGCCATTGTTCAACACATTGTTTGTATCTGAGTGATAGCTTTGGCAGCGCACTGAAAGAGCGTGTATGCAAACTGGTTAGAACAAGTGTGCAATCACAATAACAAGGGTGCAAAAAAGAAATCAACACATTCTTATCTGACTTATCGCAGCGATCAAGTAACAAAGAACTGGTTTCCCAATGAAAGAAAAAATAGGAAAGCAGCTAGCATTACCCATTGCTCCACTATTCTTGTCAGACAGGCATATAAAAACAGTAGAAGTGATATCAGCGATAGTGCTGAGGCTTTTACACGCCCATGGTGCGTTAAGGTGGACGGCGCATTTTCAACGAGACAGAACGGCAGGAAGTGTTGGCTTGTGTGAGTGGGAGGGGAGGTGGGGAGGGGAGGGGGTTGCTGGCCTTCGCTCAGACCCCACTTCTGCCTGTCACTTCTCCTCACAAACATATGGAGCCATTAAGCCACCGACAAGGTAAATGTATGCACCTTCTCTTTCACTTTGCCCTCGTCCGCTCGCCCTACTCTGCAATCTTGTACAACACTGCACAATGTGATACGGGCCATGGAAATTCAATCCCCATTTAGTAGCAAATAAAATCACACAGCAGAAGTGGTTTCAAATGGTGCTAGGTTAGATGTACAGGGGGCCGCGCTGTGGTTATTTCCACACCTCCTCCTTTTGGTATTGCTTTCTCTGTGTCTCATTTGCTCCTTGCTGACTGTGACGTAGGATTCAGAGATAATAAATGGCTCGATGTCTTTAGATGTCATGTGAAACCGGGAAAGGGTCATGCGCCACATTACAAGGGTCTGGCGTGTTAAAGTTTGGATGTTGGGTCCACAGAGAACCAGACTCCAGTTTGGAGTCACACACCGTTGAAGAGGAATTACAGTGAACTTTTTTCTAGACTGGACATGGATGTTTTCATGCCCAGAGTCTGGATTATAAACGCCGCAGTGGGAAGGAGCACAGGTGACGCCATTGCTATATTTCCAGGTCCATGTGGTGCCATGAAACATAAGTCATAGATCTGCTGAGGGTTGACAGACGGAGCAGAGGTCTTTTTTAGGTCAGATCAAATCATAACCGATGGAATTTATGACTCAAACAGTCAAACCTGATCAAGTCCCCCATTTTTTAATGTTTTACTTCACATTGTCAAAGCAGTTGGAAGAAAAATAACCTTAACAATTTAAATAAAACAAGTGCTCTGTATGTATTGTTTTTAAAAGGTCAACTTTCATATTCCATCTTTTAGTTCTCTTTAAAACACAGAAAGGTTTTATTTACCTGCAACGTTTCGTTTGCGGCTGCAGCCGCAAACGAAACGTTGCAGGTAAATAAAACCTTTCTGTGTTTTAAAGAGAACTAAAAGATGGAATTAGAATTTCAACACAGCAAGAACACACCAAAGATGTCAACTCTCATGTTTTTAATACATTTGCAGTGGTAATAGGAATGGATGCCTTGTGTGTTATTTTCTGTGGAAAGAAAGCTCTGGTGCCTGTTTGAGGATGTAGAAGTCAGCTGGAGGAGAAAGTGGCAGAGTTTTTGTTGTTTCCTGATATTTAAACATCTAGCCTCTGATTGGCTCACTGCAACATGGATGTTTTATCTCCACAAACAACACAAACCCGGAGGAGTTCTGCTGTGTGGTGGAGTCGCTAATGCTAACAGTTAGCTTCTGATAGTCGAGGCGTTCTCTTCTGTTTCCTGGATGCTAAAACAACAACAACAGCCTTCCCAGCCACGAGTCAAGATCGGCGAGTCCGCGCGACGTGACAGTGTGACGTAGATCAGTCGGGCTTTTCTGAACCGAGCGTTTTTCTATCTATTTTCTGTCAGAAGCTAACGCAGGTAGCATGTTAAACTCAGAGTGATTGACCATTTTCAAAAATGATAAGTAAAAAATGGTTTCTCTGTGAACCTGATTTTCTTAATGAAAACAACTGTTTACTTAAAACAAGTGGAGCGTAAACAAACGTTGCCCTTCCTGGACAAAAAAAAAAAAACCAAATAGACAAAACAAGATCAGGATTGTTGCTTGATGTGTCAAATCTAACATAACTTTTATCTGCTAGATGGAGAGTGGCAAGGAAAGCCCAAGCGTTGTGGTCATTTTGCAGGTCCGTTAGAGACTAGATGCCGCTGTGTCATTATGAACAGTGCAAATAGCCTAAATAAGTCCAGCTAGAATCTATTTGTTTAACAAATGACTTGTACGGCTGTGCTCGTCTACCGTGCGACACCGGGCCATTGAGCACAGCCAGCTCACATGGCGATGACCCACCGCCATGAAGTCAGAATGACTCTGCTGCCATGAGAGCGCCACAGGGTTGGCGGGGTCACATGCAGCAGCTCCCTGTGGGCCGTCTCATAATGATGACATCAGATTAGTGTGCCTTAGTGTTGGAAGTGAACGCTTGGCCACTCACTTCATGGTGAAAGGATGCGGTAGCATCTCGTAAACCCTGCAGGTGGCCATGACGACCTCGTGCTCTCCGTCTCTGTGTCGTGTAGAAATAATAAAAGCGTTGAATCTCTCGCCTCAAAGAGTCATTTTTAGACCCCCTTTTGTTATTTCTTCCTGTGCTCATGAATTATGCAGGGATCTTACACATTGTGACCCCTGACCATGATTCCATAATAGCTCTTGTTATTTGAACTAAAACATTTTTCGTGTCAAATCTGTTGCGAAAACGCCGAGTGGTAAAAGACTCCCCCTCAGGCACTTTGTTTTAGCTGTCATGGCTCCATAGTTTCAAAAGAGCTGACTTTCTTTTTCATCTCGGGGTCCTATACTTAATTCATTAACTGCTCTACCACACCTTTTAATGCTCTGTTGTGAACCTGCTGACTTCTGAGTCTGTTTTTTACCACAGAAAAGAGCCTTTCTTTCTCCCAGTCGTTCACTCATCAGTGACGGTTTCACCGTGATATTTTAGTCTAATAAACAGACACACATACTAATAGTGAGTAGACTGTGATTAATTAGCCTGTGGGTGTTCGTAAAGACACAATATGCAGGTGATTCTTTACATTTGGGTGTAAATCTACTGCTTTGGCAAGGCATCAATCGTTAACCCTTTGATGCATAATGGTCACTACAGTGGACAGGTACTCAAAATTATTTATTTATTTTTACTATTAAGCACAGCTGTTGAAGACTTTATTGCATGTGAGCCCCTCCATTTGGACTTCAGTAAGTCAAGCCAACATATTTCATGTTCAGAATGCACGCTGTCCACTCCGGTGGACATGTAATAAAGTATTTGTAAATTAAATGTTACAAAAAATATGTAAATATGAAATTTGTTTCATTCACACCTAAAGATGAATGAAAAAAATTGTTTAAAAAAATCATGATTGAAGATTTTATAATTCATGCATCAAAGGGTTCATGTAGCAACAGAATTTAAAAGGAGAAAAAACACTTTTTTACAGGGAGTGGATTTTTTATTTTTTTTTACCGAGTTCAAAAGACAAAAGGAGAGAACCGGGCAAGCTGTTACATGCAAAGAAAAATGATACAAGTGCCTCTGTTTGTCCATCGTTTACACTCTGACTTCCCGTTACTTAACCTCACTAACACCCAATTGTACAAAAACTGTTTATTTCATGCTGCCGGTGTTAGAAACACTTTGAAAGAGGGTGTTTTCTGTGACTCAAACAGTGGATACTTTAAAAAAAATGATTAAATCCTGCGCATTCCTTAAGGATACTTCCATGTTGACGACATGTTTGCATTCCTCTGCTTGTGTTCCCATATCTATTGTTCCACTCGGACTAGAGCGTTCCCAGGCTCTGTTTCAAATCCGGTTCCAGACGGAGCAGAGTTAAGCTTTTATTTGGTATATTCTCTGTTTGTTTGAGTTTTTAATGTCTAAAATGCTGAGAGGAATGAATGAGAATGACTTAAACTGTAAGCATACCTGGCTTGTAAGACATTCCTGGGGGGAAGAGGAAGCCTTGCTGGGCGGCTGCTGCTGCTGCTAGAGTGCGTTGGTCGTGTGGAAAAATGGGGATCATGAGCGGAGGCATGTGACCCTGGACCTGCTGAACAGATAGGGAGCAGAGATCAGAGAGAGGCCTAGGAACAGGCATGATACAGAGATACTCAGAGCCAGCTCAGGGGGAGGCTAGATCACAGCTTCTCATAACGCGTGCTGACAAGAGGCTCCAAGGCAACAACGGTGCTTGTGTGGTCATACAATACCTCGTCAAACTATGCCTGCTTTTAATCCAAACCCACATTCTGCCTAAGTGGATCAAAGACCTTACATCGGCACATTGTTCTAGCAGCAGTTAGAGAAATAGCCACACAGACGAGGAGGCTCAGAGGTGTGGACTGTGTAACAGCTACCACCTAACTGTTGAGGTAAATCCAATGTGTCAGCTAGAAAAACTAAATGAATTACATGATTTTCAATCTTTGTTTAAAGGTCAACTTTACTCATATTTTTTCTACATTTGCAGTAGTAGGAATGGATGCCTTGTAACTCGTTCTCTTTGCATGAGGACGTATGGTCAGCTGGAGGAGAGAGTAGCTTCAGACGGCAGGATTTGGAGTCCTGTTTCTTAACATTTGGACATCTCATCTCTGATTAGCTAACAGCAACACGACCACCTCTGACTCTGTTTGCCTTGCAATGTTGATATTTTATCTCCACAAATAACACAAGCCTGAAGGAGTGCTGCTGTATTGTGGAGTTGATAATGCTAACGGTTAGCTTCCACTAGCCGAGACGTCTCTGATGTTTCCTGGATGCTAAACCAACAACATCCTTCGCCGTCATAAATCAAGATGGGCGAGTACAAGAAGCATTAAAAGTGTGGAACAGTGAAAAGCCATTTTTAAATGATTATTTCTGATTATAATCACTCTGGGTTTTTCATGCAGGCTGAATATGAAAATAGTCTCCTACACCTGTCTCCTGCATTAGCTTCTGATAGAAAATAGACGGTGAAACTCAAGGATTAGAAAAGCCTGACAGACCTACATCACACTGTCACTTAAAATTAATGGACTCACCCATCTTGACTCGCTACGGGGAAATCTGTTGTTGGTTTAGCCTCCAGGAGACAGCAAAGAACGTCTCGGCTTTTAGCCAATCAGAGGCGAGATATCCAAATATCAGGAAGTAAGACTCCAAATCCTGCCGCATTAAGCTCTCCACTGATGAGGCATTTTACTAGTTTCTAACCCCCTAAAAAGTAAACAAAGTATGACTTGCAAGGCATTCATTCCTACTAGACACTGCATACGTATTGATTAAACGAGTGTCCCAGACCTTTAAATGACAGGGTGACGTAGATCCGTCAGGCTTTTCTGAACAGAGCATTTCTTTGTCTATTTTCTATCAAAAGCTACTACATGAGATAGATGTACTTTCACATTTTGTGACCGATCATTTTCAAAAATAATAAATAATAAATGGTTTCTCAGTGAATCTGCTCTTTAGTAAACTCGCAAAAAACATTTTATGAATTTACTTGGGAAAAAACAGGTTTTTGTATTCCATTTTATTGCAGTCCTGCTGCCGATTTATTTCCATGGAACATCAACGCAATCACCCTGTTCTTGTGTGCCGAGGGTGGCTGTAGCCCTGAAAGTGGTGTGTGGGGTTTTGCTAGCATGTCTCCAGTCCAATTTTTCTGTCATCCTCAGCTTCCTGAGATCCTGTGATTGGGAGCAGCTCAGCTACCACGGGCTTGTGAGGGTTAATCCAGCACCGAGCCAGATCACCTCAGGGGAGCCAGGCTGGAAAATGGGTTAATAAAGGTCACCCCCCCCAAAATAAACACTTTAGAGAACGTTTCCCCATTCATCCTCCCTTAAAATCAACTTGCAATAAAACAGGTCTGGGTGCAATTACTGCTGCTGCATTGGGGCATGAAATCAACCTGTCCCGACTTCTGGCTGAAGTTTCAGCTGCTGCCGCTCCCTCCGTGGACACTTCACAGGACCGGTCTCACCCAGTTTCTCTCACTTAAGACAACTTTATTGATTTGTCCAGAGGTGCAAAACTAGACTGAAAACTAAATAAACAGAAACATTTTATGCCAACTGAGCTTTTTACTGAAGTGCAAGTGCAGAACTCGCAGGACAGGAGAGTGGGAAAAGTGTGTAATTCTTCAAAAATAAATTGAAAAAAAAATGCAGTTGCAGAAAAGTAAAAGGCAGAGGAGGCGGTCACAAAAATGCTGAAAATTGAAGCTTTCTTCACTGGGATTAGTGCTCCAAGTTTCCAGGCTGAGCGTAAGAGAGACGAATTTGGCCTTGCATGTATGGCACACATGGAAAAAAAAAAAAGAATAATTAATGTCACAACATGAGGTAGGGCAGGACAGGCGGGGTTTGGAGGGGAACACTAGTGAACACAGCGTTCCTCTGTCCATTTATGTGGACTGCTGAAACACATGAAGACCATGGCGGAATGTCTGGTAGTCACAGGGCAGAGTACTCCCCCAAGTCTTCTGGTAAAATATGTGTAACTTGGCAGGCAAGTCCCACAAATCACCTAAAATGCAGTGAAGTAACGGTGCATTGTTTATTTTTTCCTAATTATTTCATATTGTTGCTTGGACCTTTGCACCTCCACTCATTTATTCGAGTCAGAACTAAAAGCTAAAAAGATGAACGTAAAGCCTTTCTACGCTCCTTTCTACTCCCTGCATTTATGCACACTAAAAATCATCTGATACATGGCTGATTTTTTTCCCTTCATCACTGCTAAATGATAAACTTTAAGTGATACGGTTTCCTCTGGGATATCAGCTTTTATTACTGTTATTATTTTAAAATATGGAGCAAGAATATACAACGTTCGCCGAGGCGAAAAAGAGACGAAAAGTGCGCTGAAGGGGAAATAAATGCATTGAATGTGAATGGCTGTGATTTGCAGTAATGAGCTGCGGGCATTAAAGTTTAATTTACGGCAGCTAATGTCAGAGAAAGGAAAATCAGATTTCGAGGAGCTTCAAGGTGTCAACAAATGGTGGAGGCTTGTTGAGCTGTCAGTAAACCACTATAACTGAAGAGGTTCTAACTATTCTGGTTTTTTTAATGCAAAAAATATGGATGATTTTTAAATATTTTAGAGAAATTAGTGTTTAGGTCTGTGGTTTTCTCTTACTGAAGCCCCCTTTGCTGTGCCTTTAAGAGTTACCCTCAAGTTCATCTACGTATGGGCTGAGTGCCCAGGATATTTCTATTGCCAAGATGATCTTGAAGAGTGGGAGAACGAGGTGAAGCAGATGTGTGTGTGTGTGTGTGTGTGTGTGTGTGTGTGTGTGTGTGTGTGTGTGTGTGTGTGTGTGTGTGTGTGTGTGTGTGTGTGTGTGTGTGTGTGTGTGTGTGTGTGTCTGTGTGTGAGCAGCATCCTCCCTTCTCCTCGTAAATACAGCAGCATTGTTGTGCAGGTACCGCTCTTCCTTTGTCTCAGCACCACTAAGTACTGGATAATGTCATTTCGCACCATCTGCCTCCAGGCTTCATTAAAGATACATGAATGGGCTATCTTATGAGGAACAGGTGCTATTGTTTGTCCCTCAAGACCCGGCACTAAGGATCTGACTCGGAATACTTGAAGAGGAGCATCTGTAGTGATCAGTCAGACAGACTTGGCCGAAGCCCCCGTCTCTGCCAGCACGCTCTCCAGCAGAGGTTTCTGGGGGAACTCAGCCGCCTTGCAACACGTATCATCAATTCAAATGACCTGATGAAGTCTGTAGCAGGCCAGCAAGCAATCTGTTTTCCTCTTGAGGAGATGCTGTGCTTTGATAAATAGACTCTTGCTCGTCTACCTTGAGTAGGAAACTGCAGGTGAAACTCAAAGTCCGGTTATTTAAGTAATTCAACTTGAAGGCTGAAACTAAAATATGAGATAGACTCATTATGTGCAAAGTCAGATATTTCTAGCCTTTATTTGTTAGAATAGTGATGATTGTGGCTACAGCTCATGAACACACAACATTCAAAATCTCAAACAATTAGAATATTTGAAAATGTTTAATACTCTAGGCTCAAAGTGTCACAATCTAATCAGTTAATGACTCCAAAGCACCTGCAGAAGGTTCCTGAGCCTTTAGATGGTTTTGCAGTCTGAGTTGAATTACTGAATTAAGTGGATTTTTGCACCATGTTCAAATATTTCGAGTTTCCCCTGCATGCTAATAAGAAAAAAGAAAAAGGAAAGGTTTTTCTTTGAGGAAAACGTATTTTCATTTATTTTCTGCAAATTGTTCTATTACAAATTTCTACTGCAGGTTTTTCCACCTAAATAAAAAATAAATAACAATTTCACTATTATTTTAACCATCACAATGTTTTTATTTTCTATTTTCATACATTTTAATGTTTTTGACTAAAAATGAAAAACTGGTGATTTTGACACATTTAAAATTAAAATAATCCCTCATTTCTAATTGGCTGTTGAACAAAAACAAATATAATCCTGACATCCCTAAAAGTGTTTTTATTCCCATTCATCAGCCTGCTTCATGAATCCAGGCAGCTACTGAGCATTTGGAGCAAATCGAGATGTACAGCACATTACGGCGCTCACTTGGGACCCTGTCAACGCCCATGCTCCTCGCTGTCTGTTATCCGGAGGGGCCAGTCGACTCCCTGCTGGCTTTTACTCTGAACCTGTTCACACTTCACGCACCGATTCTGCTTTCAGGTCTGCAAAGCAAACCGTGAACGCTTTTGTGTATATTATAACAATCGGTGGACATTAAAAGGTTCAAACACAAAAGGGTAAAAGGACCAACTTGTATCTTGTCACCGTGTTTCAGGGTTATTATAGTCAGATCCTGCGTTGTTCTGTTTGGATTAGTCGCCACTTCACACCTTTTATCACGTCTTTCAAACAGATCCGTATCTTGGACATGATCTGAATTCATTTGCCGTGAGGATATTCTGATAAAAATGTTCATTTCATTTGGAAAAAAGTCTGTTACCAATATGATTGGAAGTAGCCAAAATGTAAATATCAATCATCAGGAGCCGTTTATGAGGATATTCACATGTTAGTGGTTGCTAATTTAAATAA